CGCGGCTGTTGCCAAGTCATACAGGCTAAAAGATACCGGATTTGTGTAGCTAGGTCCACTTAGTGCTGGCCCCAGCCGGTTCAACCCAGATCAGTCCGGTTCTTATCGTTATTTCGTCAGCTGTTGCCATCTGACCCCTCACAGTTCGTCCCTTGACCGAGGCCCCGACCCCAATGACCTTTCGACCACCATGCCCAGGATGTGGACAAACAGACTCATGCACACCCGGCCCGGCCACGGCATTGGACGTCATTTGAGACGGCAGTTTGTCTCAATACTGAGTATCATAAAACAAAAACAGCAGATGCAGTTGTGTGTCTATTCTGGTCGGCCGTTTATGCTGAGCAAGCTACAAACTATCGTTAATATAATCCTCTAAGGATTTGTAACAAGAAATAACTCTATCTTTGGTTAGGTATGTTTGACGATGCTCACAATCGCATACACGTGTGTCTGTGTGTGATTTGTTGTACATAGTACATACATTACAAGTTATAAGAACAAAACATCACTGCCAATTCCATGTGTGCGGTACCGCCTCCGCCGCCGCCTGGGTCCGCCGCACCACCCTCGACTCGGTCTGACCAAACCGAGCATGCGCCGCCGGCGCTCTGTCGTCCACCCGCCCCGCCGCCTGACCGCCGCGGCTGGCGTAGCCGGCGTAGCTCGAGCCGCCGTGCTCGTAGCTGTCGTCGTGGTAGGCGTACTCGGAGGGGTCGTAGCGGCCGTAGCCGTCGTACTCGCCGTGCTCGGGGAAGCCGTGGCCGGGATGGCCGAACTTGGGCAGCGCCTCGTGGACGGTGTCGAACGCCGACAGGCCGAGCTTCTTGTAGAGGGCGCCCACCTTGGCCAGCGCTATGATGGCGATCACCAGAGCGGCGATGGCGATGCCGGGCGCGGCGGCCACCAGCGCCGCCTTCAGGCCGGCCAGCTTGATGGGCACGGCGGCCAGCAGCGCCTGCAGAGCGCCGACGGGCCCGGCGGCGCGGCCGGCCGGCCCCAGCGCCGCCGTCAGCAGCTCGTCGACAGTCTGCAGCAGCCGGCCGGTGGTGACCGGCAGCGCCCGAGAGGTGACGTTGGACGCCGGCGGCCGCTCCGAGCTGACTTCCGACGCCGTGACGGCCACCGCCAGGCCCAGCAGCAGACCGGCCCACATCATCGAACACTGCATGGCTGCTGAGGCGAGCTGAACTGTCTGCCAACTGTCTGTCTGTCTCTGTCCACCGCTGGACTGGCACTGTACCTACCGGACCGCCGGCGTCGCTTATATCGCCGCCCCCACATGGCTTCCGACCGGACACGGTGTGACCTTGCCTGGTGCGGCGGCCGCATCGGCCGGCCTACATTGGAGGGGCGATCGGAAACGGCAGACGCAACACTCCGCGGCGGCGGCGGGTGCTCAGACCGGCTCCGGGCCGGACCTAGCTGGGAGACTCCGCCCCCCCCCCCCCCCCGCCCCCACCTCCGCCTCTCTGCTCGCCCCGACCACCACGCTTGGCTGTTGCTTCATTCGCCGTAATATTGGCTAATCTGTACCGAAGATGTAAGTGTGCCTTACCTCATCGTTCGCCGGATATATCAATGCTGCAATGCGGTTGTCGGTTATTTGGAGATGTGTTGTGCACACTTGGCCAGGCTCTTGAGTCTCCACCTCCCATTACTTAGCGACCGGGTTTACCTTCGTTGTTGGGTTGACAGCCTTCGTATTTTTGCGAATGAACAGTTAGATATCGTAGTTAAGCGTCGCCAGAAAATGTGGGAATTATCTTAAGAAGCACTAGGCATGTTCCCCTCGAAATTAAAGACCGTATCTTGACGTGTGTTACTGCGCAGCTTTTGAACATAAATCTGCATTTTATTTTAGTTTCAAATTTAATATTTCCATTTAATTTATCATTTTATAAGAAACTAAATCAGGCACTCAGCGAAGAAATTGTGGCATTGCTCCTAAATACCCGCCTATCGCGGAAACAATCCTAGCTCCGCAACAAAATGCAATGCTCGAAACGATGAAGTCGACGGAGCACATTCACAACGGGCGAGATGAGCGTGAAATGGGTTTTACTTATCAATCTTAATGGAAAACTTATTATCAACGCCCCGTTTCAAACCAGCTCAGTTTTCGGATTTATTTTCACAGCACCAGTGTTTTAAAAGAACAAAATCAAACAAATATCGAAGATAGCATCAGCTAAAAAAACAATTGCATTTGCACCATGATCTACCATAGAAGTACCTAAATATATTGTAAGCTATATCGATCAGGGAGTTATTGCTCCTCAAAACTTAGGTATGTGGTCAAGTGGCAATTGAGTCATCCCTAACCGCTATAATCTATTAATTCACATCTAGCTCACAGCTTCGATCGATACCTACTTCGCATGTTTGAAGTACGTACAACAAAATAATTCCATTCGTGTCACTATCGTTCAACCACAACGATCCACGCACGAAGTAGCTCCGATGCAAGTCGGACACCCAATTGACAATATCCAGACGATAGCATCCGTCTGGACTTTAGACACATAGACAGCAGGTCTGGCATCGGTCACATGCTTCGGTCTGATCACTCAGCGTTACGGAGTAAACAAACGACGCACTACAGGGTGGACTTGGGCACGGGTTGATGGCGACGTATGTTGGCTGTTAGCGCGTAACATTAACAAACTCACGTGTTTTACATGTCACGCAAACGTGCCGATAATGCGTCACAGGAAACTTGTCATCTCTTAGCTTAGGAGGCATTGACAATTGACATAGGTTCGATACTACCTAGGATTAGACGACACACAAAGTTGCATTGGTTGTGCGATGTTTCCTTCTGATCGATAAGACTATTTTATCGATGATACCGATGAAAGCATTACATCGGTGCGACTCAAGCCGGGCTCAAGACATCTAAAACCACCGCGCCCCGCTCCCTTCAGAGTCCGAACTCGTTTCTGCCGAGCCGGTGTTGCAGCGTGCGCCTGTGGTCTCTGATGTCATCCAGGCCAATGTAGCCGCCCTCCAGGCACCTCTGTGTGGCCTGCTCGGGCCACTCAAAGTCCTCCCTTCCGTGGGTGAGCCTGGTGTTGTCGAACATCACCATGTCTCCCTGCTGCGGCAGGAAGCTCACCTTGTACTCCTCATCGTTCAGCATCCGGTTGAAGAGGGCGAAGGCGCGGTACCAGCGGTCGACGACACCCAGAGGCACGCCGAAGAAGGAGTCCCTCTGGGCCTGGCTGAAGCGGAGTCCCACCAGACGGCCCTCGGCGTCCTCCTGCAGCACCGGCGCGCGGTACAGCTTGTGGTGGCTGCGACCGGTCTCCCCGGGCAGGGTGACGTTCACCCAGTCGACGGGTGTGTCTGCCAGCACGCGGTACGCCTCCGGCTGCAGACGGCGCAGCTCGGCAGCCACGTGCAGCGCGTCGGCGAACTCCGAGCGCCCTCCGCCGCCGCCGTGCTGCCGCTGGTAGTGCAGCAGCTGCACCTGCGGCTGCTGCTCGTAGTACGGCAGGTCGGCGTGCATGTTGAGCCGCTTGGTCGTGTAGGCGATGTTGATGGGGTCGGCCTTGGTGGTCACCTTGAACGTGGTTCCGTAGTGGGTGGTATGTGGGTAACCGATGGCCTGGATCAGCTTCAACACCTGGCCGGACTCGGAGCCGCAGTTCTGCAGCACCACCAGGCCGTACCGCTCCAGCGCCAGCAGCAGCGCCAGCCGAGCCGGCTCAGAGTCCAGCACCTGCTGGAAGTCAGCCTTGGGCAGCTTCCCGGACATCTGGGAGGCGTTCCAGTGGCTCTTCTCCACGCTGTGCTCCTCCCTCCGCCTTCTCCGCTCCTCTGGGCGGAACGATCTGAGCAGGAGCCACTCGGCAGCGTAGGTTCCCTGGTGACCGTCCGACCAGGTCACGCTCAGTTCTGAGCCGTCCGAGGTCACCCTGCAGGCCTCTACGGATGTGTTGACGTCGAGGTCGCGAAGCACCAGGGAGCGCACGAACGTAGGGTGGCCGAGGAAACACGCCGAGCACTGGCAGTTGTCCCGAAGCCAGACGAACGGGTACAGAGACTCGGAGCCGTCCCGCCACTGGACGCGGAGACACCGGCCAGCCTCATCGGTGGCGACGAGGTCAGCTGCGTCTATGGCCACGTCAAGGGAGCCGACGGAAGCTGCGTCGGCGCTGGGAGCTGAGACTGGGTCGCTCAGAGGCTGGCTGGCTGTGGCTCGCGGCCCGGAGCGGGTGGCCAGACCGGTGCGGGGCACCCGGAGAAGAGCTGTCCCGCTGCGGACACTTGGTCGTTGTATTTGGGTGGCAGTGACCCCGGACAGCGACCGAGTCAGGTCAGGTCGGGACAGAGCTGGTCGAACCCGGCCGGCCAGACGGCAGAGCGCGCGGGGAGCGCTGACAGAGGCCATCTCTATCCCAAGCACTACGCGAGCGCAACTGCGCTCGGCGCTCGCCGGCCAGGCCCCTTTACGGCACCGCCCCTAGCGACCCTTGCCCCGGGCGAGCGCGACCTTTGGCCCATCCGCCCCGTGGAGCAGCAGGCTGGTCTGTTGGTGAGCCAGAAGCCGGTGGTTTATCTGCGGAGTTGGGTTTCACGTCATGCTCAAAGTTCACTAACAGTGAGCGTGACTAAACACAATCCGACGCGGGTCAACCCTACGAGAGGTCGTAAGATCGTGGTCTGGTACGTATACAATGTTTTGACATGAACCATGTCCATGGATTCAGAATTAGCTGATGAGACGTGGCGATGGGTCAATCTGCTGACAACGTTCAAAACTGTATGTTGTTACGATAATGTTTCAGATGGTTTCTGATGTTTAAGGTCGGCTTTTTAAAAACATATTTCATTAATGCCAAACGGTTTGTGGCCCGTCGCTTAGCTCTACTTGAAGGCACATCTCTGCATTTTTTTCATCCTTGTTGCGCAATAATTGTATATGGATACTTCGTAAAGCCGTGTGTATTCTGGTAAACCCAATGCAGATAGCTTTCCAGTTACAAGGAAACAAGTTTTACGAGTATGATAAAGTACTATATTGACAAGGCACGTATCGTCTTACATTTGTATAAAACAGGCTGTCGTATCATTTGCTCCCTCCCGCCCACCCCCGCACATCCCTGCTATCCCCGGCACGGCGGTAGCCCATGTCAACTCCCTATCACATTGAACCGCCACTTCAGCAGTCCCTTGGTCACAAGTCAAACACCCATTAACGAGGCACAGACGACGAAGGCACATCGAGTGAAAACAGTAACGGCACGATCGGCAAAACACTGAATCATCGCTTAGGCACGCAGTTTCCACCAGCCGACCAGCAGACACACACGACTTCGTTTTAAACAGCGGGCCGGGACCGCCACCGCCGTCCCGGCCGCACACACTTGGCACAGTAGTACACAGACAAGGCAGCACACTGGGGCGACGCTGGCGCCGCCTGGCCGGTCACTCACACGGTCGTCTCACTGGGGCACTCCTCAGCGTCTCCAGACGGCTCTGCCGACCGCTCGTCTCCGTAATAATCATAGTTTTGTTCGGCGGCCGCCCGCCGCGCCGCCCACCTCGCGGCACCCTCCGCCACAGGCACACCCACCGAGTTGGGTGACGAGGTGCCGTAGCAGTTGGTGGGGTACGTGCCGCCGGGCGGCAGCGCTCCAGACGGGGGGTACGCGCCGCTCGGCGGAGCACTGTTCGCGAACGTTCCAGAACTGGACACGGAGGAGGCCGGGTAGGCCACACTGGGCGGCGCACTGTGCGGAAACCCGCCGCCCGGCAGGGAGGTGCTCGGATAGGCGCCGGTGGACGGGCCGCCGGCGACGCCGAACGCGCCGCTGACCGGCGGCGTGCCGGCGAAGGAGCTCGGCTGGCCCGAGGTGCGGCCGGAGGCGTACGTCGGCCCGCTGGCCTCCGAGAGAGGCGCGTACGTGGCCGTGGCGCCGTAGCCCGGGCCGTAGCCGTTGGGGTTGTAGCCGTGTGGCGGCCCACCGGCCAGCGAGCCGTGCAGCAGGCCTCGGCTGGCCACCATGTGGTACTCGGGGTTGTCCATGCTCAGCATGAACGGGTGCTCGCCCGAGCAGCTCGCCTGAGAGGAGGCGGCGTCACCTGCGGGGAGACGAGCGCGTGCGTTAGAGATCAGATAGAACCCAGGCAGAAAACCGCTATCGATTGCATATAATCTCGCAGCTATAATGCTCGTCAAACATTCATTCAGACATAACTCACATAAAATGTTCACGTCGTTCAAACTTGTAAGCCATCATAAAAAAATGAAACAAATGAGCAAGTCAATAATGTGGATCAGCTCTCTCACCTTTCTGGTGTCCGCCGAGGTCCATGTAGCCGGCCTGCTGGCCGTTGGACGGCATCAGGTAATCGTCCTCATCCAGCGGCAGGTGCAGCTTGAGACCGGCCACAGTGGCCTGGCCGGAGGAGGCCGCCGAGCCGCCGGCGGCGCCGCCCACCGGCAGGGACGAGTAGCCGGCCGGCTCGAAACAGTCGTTGTCCACCTGGTCGCAATCTGAGTGGGCGGAGAGCGTGTCCCGTCAGTTACTCAGTAATGACGGGAAACTCGGCACGGGCGGCGGAATGTGCTATTTTCTGTTTATGTCGGCTATAAAGTCCATAACAGGAAAACGATACTCGACCATTATCGTTCCTAACGTTCCTAGAAGAAATGATTGTGACACGCTGGAAATAATCATACACGAAGGTGCTTAAAATGCATCACAAACATCGCACTTACACCCTGAACAGTCATTTTCCTATCATCATTCACCCCCTACTCCTCCTACAACCTTCGCATTCCACTCACCGAGTCCCTGCAGGCAGTCTCCAGGGGTGGACGACGTCGATCCGGACCGGCACTTGCTGCTGTCGGTGGGTCGCCGACGAGAGTCGATGGCCCTGCTGGCCGGCGACGCCGCGCGGCCCCACTCGTCGTGCTCGTCTTGCAGCGTCGCCAGTGACGACGCGGGGTATCCGGAGCGGAGAGAGGGCGCCGCTGTGCTGAAACCCGTCGGACCCTGAGGGTTCAGGTACTCGCCAGCGTTGACCAGTACGTCCGTGGGTCCGTCCAGCGCAGACGCCGCCAGCGATCGCATCAGCTCTCGCTCATCCTGCGAGGGGAGGGTATGGTTAGATGAGCGGTAATGGAGGGGGAGGGATCACCGATGAGCAGCGCTTGTACCTACATCGTCACTGAGAAGGATCTCCGCCACCAATCACCGCAGAAATACCTCTGCTAAACCCATGGTATGTCGCAGAGATCAGATACAATATGCAAATGGTGATTCGCTCGGCGGATTACCACTCTGTTCCATTAGGGGAACATCGTCGAGCCGTCACGTTATCTCACCTGCTGTGTGTACGAAGGCAGCCTCATCAGTCGGTCTCCAGGTATGACCAGGTACCGGCCCGGGTCGCGGGACATCTTGGCAAACTCGTCGGCCAGTTCCTTGAAGCTTGGTCTCGAGTCAGCGTCCAACATCCAGCACTTGATCATGATCATGTAGACCTCGATGGAGCAGGAGGTGGGCTGCGGCAGCCGCTCGCCCTTCTCCAGCAGATCGGGCACGTCCTTGGCTGGCACGTTCTCGTACGGACGACCTCCGTACGTCAGCAGCTCCCACACGGTCACACCTGGAAAATGATGGAACGTAAGCAATAAAACAACGATGAAGTTGACAAAGGAAATAACTTTAAGTTAAATAACTAAAAAGGAAAATAACTTTTAGTAACTTTTGAATAACTCCAACTCCAAATCCCGTTAGCCATAAGCAGAGCATGAAAAGAGGAAGAACCACAGGCTTCTACTCCAACTGTGACAAGCACAGCTAAAATTAACTTCAACTGATCGTTTGATAGTGAAGCATAACTTCGCTCCTACGTCCAACTCACCAAAGGCCCAGACGTCGCTCTTGTGGTTGAAGATGCGGTGCTGGATGCACTCCAGGGCCAGCCACTTGATGGGCATCTTTCCACCGGCCGCCTTATACTCCTCCTCGTTGATGTCGAGCAGCTTGGCCAGACCGAAGTCGGTGATCTTCACAGAGTTGGGTGTCTGCACCAGGACGTTACGGGCGGCCAGATCTCGGTGGACCAGTCGCCGGTCCTCCAGGTAGGCCATACCGCGAGCGATCTGCGTACACCAGTTCAGGAGAGGCTTGCTACCGATCTTGGAGCGATTGTTCCTCACGTAGTCGAGCAGACAGCCAAGTGGCATCAACTGGGTGACCAGCATCATCTGCGAGGTCATGCAGACGGCCAGCAGGGGGAGCAGGTTCGGGTGGTCCAGCGACGCCATGATGTAGGCCTCCTCCAGAATCTCCTTGTTAGTGTCCGCTCCCGTGCCCTCACGGAGGACCTTGATAGCAACAGGGATCTTGACATTCTCCTCTTCGGGAACCCAGACGCCTTTGTAGACAGTGCCGAACGCACCGAATCCGAGAATACCGCCCTTGCGAAGTTCGATCTCCTTCACGATACGCAGCTTGGCCAAGTTAGGCTTGACGTTGGTCACCTTCAACGGCTCATTGAGGCCCTCCTTGCTCATCATCATCGTCATCTTGAGCATGTCCTCCTTCTTGCGGTCGCTGCGGCACTTGCAGATGATGAAGGTGACGATGACGAGCAGGAAGACCAGCGTGACGGAGACGGAGCTGGCGATGATCGTGACACTGTCCTCGGCGCCATGCAGCGGGAGCACGCCCGGCTCGGTGGAGCAGTACGGCGGCTGGTCGTCCCCGGGGAAGATCTTGTGCGGGTGAGACTCGGGGCAGTGCGTCGTACAGTTGAACGCCGACGAGTTGGACGAGCCGTCCGCCGAATCCTGAGGGCAGGGAGGAAGAGGCGGTGATATATTCATCAATGAGTGGTGTCCATGTAGTGTTGTCCGGGTATACTAACATCATCTAGCTATTAGTTCAACAAGAACGCTACATACACCGATGCTGCCCTGCTACCCGCAAACAAGGGCGGAAACCGTGGCGTATGCGATAGTCATGTTCCGACTCATCGATAAACAAATGTCTCGCATAACAACCCTAGCTCTGGCAGGTCCTCATTGGCATCCCGTAAAAATATTGTCAAAAGGCCTGCTCAATGATTTTCGACCAACCATACGGCGCACCCCCATTGAGTGTTTTGCATGACATCTATGTAAACGCCCGGGTGACCCCCGTATCTGATCGCAAAAGGTCTCCGGCCAGCACAGAACACATACAATTATACATACACATCGGCGACAGCGGTGCAGTACCACGACGCGAGGGCCATCACCGTTAGCGATGCACCAAACGTCTGCATTACCGCTGCGCGCCGCTCGTCACGCGCCGACATCTGTGTCGCCGTCTGCTTACCAGGTAGATGCGGTAGTTTCGACAGGTCTTGCAGTGCTGGCCGGGCCCGTAGCAGCCTTGGCATTCGGCGGCGCAGCGGAGGCACTCGTGGCGCTCTTCGTCGACGTAGAAGTCGACGTCACATTCGTCCTCGCACTGTTCGCCGCTGCGGTAGTGCACGCACTCGTGGCACACGTTGATATGGAAGCTGCGGGTCAAGACGACGTAAGTCAACAATGGGAAACGGGCGGGATGCGTGATGATCTAAGAGACCTGATTGCGTGAGTATTGCTTTGATTTTGTTCAGTCAAAGATGCATTGTTCACTTATCCTTTTGCCCAATTCGTGCACCCATTGTTGAAACTAAACGTAAGAAATGGGTACCATCCCCTTTCAATCTCCCCAACGCAAACAATCGTCACAGGACAAGCTCCAGACAGCGGCTGCCGTACTCACCCAAAGCCGGTGCAGTTCTTGCAGCGTGGGTGGCACCCACGACAGATGTTCTTGCCTGCCAACGGCCGAAGACGTCCTTGCTTCTGAGGTGCCACGAACTCCAGGAAGGTCCCCATCGGACACGTCTCGTTCACATTCAGACAGCGTTCCTGTGGACCACCAGCACACGACGCCGTCACACGCGAGCCAAGACATCGGTGACGTCAGCATTAGGTGACGTCACCTGACGTTATCACACTGACGACGGACAGCATACTGGGTGCCTCAGTCAGCGAGAGGCGCGGGACTGTCCTGCTAGCTGTTATCACGCCGACAGCCGAGACCAGAGAAGGCGTCACCTTCGGACGATACTGTTAGGATCGCGCATGATTTCAGCGCTATATCCCTCGCTCTCTCAGTTTACACGAAACTCTCGAATGCAAATCGTCGGCGAACGTCGCTTCTCATGCAGCGCACCGAGCAGCATGCAAATTGCCGGCGATACCGACGCGGCATCTGCAGCGAAGCTAACAGTAAAGCTCAGCCGAGCGGCCGCGCAGCGCGCATCTGAATGCAGGAATTCGACAGGTAAACAGAGCTGGCGGTGCGCTGCACAGTCTGCAGGTGCAGCGGTCCGCTACCAGCACATTACTGCTTCGGCGACATCTGTATCCCGGCCGGGGTGACATCACAAATGCCGCGAGGTGTCGCTCAGACCGAGGACGCCACAAAACCGGTGTGGCAGGTGCAAATGGCGCACTGGGACCGCCCACCGCGGTCCATTATAGAGTGACAATACATGCAAATGTGGAGCGAACCACTACTACGCATTAGCTGCGAGATGAGAAACGGCGCGCTACATGTGATGCCTCAATCGGCTGCCCCTTGGAGTTGCGAATAAAACAACACAGCTGTGAATAAAATATCGAGCCAAAGGCTATCTGCCGACAGTTTTGGAGCCGCACACCAACCACTCCACCCACACATCATGTTCATCGTGCTGTTGGCCCAGTCCGGCCTGAACAAACAACTGACGCCTTCCCACTGTGTCAAACGACATACGGCACTTACCACTTCCTCGTTGGGTCCGACGATGGCTCCTTCGCAGCTGAAGCATCCGCCCTCTCCGACCGTGTTGGCTGGCCCAGAACATCCACCCACGCAGTTCTCGTGACAGGGAAGGCACTCGCCCGAAGAGTTGTACTTGGTAGATGGACACTGTGCCACGCAGTAAGGTCCGTCTTTGACGTGCTTGCAGCGGTCGCACTGTCCGGGACCCTCGCCTGTGCACGGGCCGTCGCACTCCTCGTGGCAGATAGCACAAGTGTCCTCGGACTTCTGGTACATGCTGCAAGAGGAGAGACATCGGTTAGGGGCTGCTGCTGGGCACGACACCGCTCGCTGTAGCGATCGGTGATGGAACGCGAAAGGTGATCGATATCCTTGCTGGACACAATACCAGGAAGGATGACGGCCTCAAAGACCGGTGAGGAGTTGTCTGACATACACGACTCTGAGAGACCATCGATCCGGCTTCCAGCGACTAGCGGGACGCTAGGCAAAGAGGGTAGTGGCCACGTGTCACCACTGCTCATGAACAAGACAGCAGCACCCCTGAATAGCATTTGAAAAGTACAAACAGGCGCATATAGGGTTCGCCTCAACGCTTCAAGGAAATATGTTATCCTTATTTCATGCGTATTGTTGGGCAAGAAAACGTACACGCATTCTTGGCAGACTTACCCAAGTGTCTTGTCGCACTTTTCTACGCAGCGCTCTCCGACCCTGAAGTGCTTGCAGTGGAGACAGCTGTCGGCGCCGGCTGCCCAGCAGCCGTCCTCGGTGCACTGCTCATGGCACACCTGGCCGTCGGCGGCTGCAAGCGAACAAGACTCTCAGCGACAGCCCCACACGGCGACACTTCTCAGAACGCAGTGGGACGTCACACTCGTCGGCCCACGGCTATTGAGAGGTCCATCGGCAGACAGTGAACAAATGGGTGGGCCACAGCCGTGGGAAGTACAACGGATTACACAGCTTTGCAATTTACCAATAAGGAAACACACTGAGTTTACCGACATCTCTGCACAGTGAGACCAGTTAGTCTGTCAACAATTGCTTGGTACTTACCACATTCAGAAGCGTTGCGATTTTTGTCGACCATGACGTCGTAGGACTGAGATTTCTGTTCCCGTGAGATGAAGGCCTGCCACTTGATGCCCTCAGCGAAACAGAGTCTCTTGTTCTCCACGATCATCACACCTCCGGAGCGTACCTTTTGCAGCGAGTCCAGACGGAGTGATTCGAGGGACGTCTTCACTACATACAGAGCTGAGAAGTACTCGTGCAGATAGCGTCCACCGATCACCTCCAGACGACGAAGGAAGCCCAGGTCGCGGAACTCCGGGTGGTAGGCGTCGATGTTGACGAATCCGGTGATTTCCTTGACGGTGCTAAATACTTCCAGCTTGCTCGGATGCATCTTGCCATGGTGAGGGCCGAAGGTATAATTTTCGTAGATCTCTTGGTAGCCATCAAAAGAATGCTGAAGGATTTGGAGCGAACCCTGCAAGATCGTGCAGTTCTTGAACTTGTCGATGTTACCAGCGTGGATGATCTCAAGCTTGTCCACGGGACACGTCTTGGGGCATGGCCCGTTGCACGGCACGCACTCTCCATTTTTGGCCTTCTTGTTGGCTGGGCAGGCACGTACGCAAGCGCTATTGTCCTTGAGCAGATGTTCGGGACACTCCCTCACGCAGGTGGCGCCGTACGCGAACTTGCCGTCCGGGTTCGGCTCCCACGAGTACGTGATCGAGTTGTAGCGCATCATGGACGGACACTCCTGCTTGCAGACGCCGTTGTCGTAGAAGTTGCGACAGGCCAGGCAGTCCGACTGGGTGGGTCCAGTGCAACCTCCAGCGCAGAACAGGTGGCAACACTGACGCGGCTCCGGGCCGAAGCAGCGACCGCCGTGACACTGCGGTGAGCAGTTGATTTTGCTCAGTTGTTGACAGTTGTCGGGGCCCGGTCCCCAGCAGCCGCCCTCGGCAGGACACGACGGATGGCAGCTCGAACAGTTACGCTCGCGCTCGGTGAAGTTGTAAACGTAGACGTCGTGAGCGCCCGGCCCTGTCAGGATCTCGTCCCAGTTGATGGACTTGATGTGGCACAAGTTGTAGTTGTTGAAGAAGCCCGCGCTGCCCGCCAGAATATCTGCCAAGGACGTCACGGGGATTGTTGTTAATCCGACTGCATACGACCTCGATTTGCGTCAAAATAGAAATTTCACTAGCCAATACACGAAAAGAAGACAGTGTCATTGCCCCTACGAAGTAATGTGCAATATGATCAAAGAAGGCGCCCCAACAATCCGCGTGTCAGTATATTAAAATATTCCCAAGCATATTCGGATAAGCATTTCGTTTTGCTAAAACTTGGCAGGAATGTGAAGCCGTTGGGTGTTCAGTCGAGGCTCGGCAGCTCAACAAACAGCTGAGGTGGGGGCATTGCATGTTCGCGAGTGGAGCTCTCCCGCCCACTATGGCCATATCACGCGAATGCCTGGTAGGCGACCACAGCGCCGACAAGAAGCAAACACGAACACATTCTCCTACCACACATCGGCCCAGCGCACCGCGTTCACCCGACACTTCTCATTCCTTGAGGCGAACGATTCTCACCTCTCAGGGCCGGCATCTCCAGGCTGAACATCTTCGACATGGTCACCATGAGTGAGAACTCCTCGTCGCGAACGCTCAGCTTGAAGAGAGTCCTGCCGCGGATGATCTGCAGCGAAGGCAGCACCAGGCGACGGACGTCCACATACGAGATGAGCACATAGCCGGTCACCTGTCGAACAGAGAGGCCACGTCACGCATACCGGTCGCAGCGAATGGGGAGCACAAGGGTCGCTCAGGTCACATGGGTCGGCCGGGTCACGCAGGTCACGCAGGGGAGCCTCTCGGGTCGCATGCTATCGGTCGATGCATCAGCCAGATTCTCCGAGCCTGTAATTCAGCCTGTGTTCGCACGCTTTACATCACGTTGGTCACGGCGCGGAATGAATGCACGAGATCGATGTCCGACGGGCTATCGATATCTTCTCGGTCAGCGGTTTGATGTGCCGCACTGCGCACCGACCGCGTTCAGAAGCGCCTGCGTCAGCTGCGCGAGGCGCCGCCGCCGCCACACAGGGTCATGGGAAAGGTGACCACGGCCCGGCTGTCCGGGTAAATGATTAGACCGCGACGAAAACAGGCCACAGGCCACATCGCGCATCCTAAACGCTGGCTGTCTGGGTGATCTTCGGACAAGTGAGCAGCTTTGAATGTCTGCTGAATGTGTAAAGTAGCGAGAACGTGCTTGACCGGTGGCTGTCGCTGGCGTCCCCGCGTGCACCGAGTGACCTTGGTGTGACCTGACGCGGAGACAGACTCGTGTGAAGTGCGCTGCAAGGTAGCGGCGCCGGTGGCCGGGACCGACCGTTGGCCCTGCTGCCGTGCCGCTGTTGGTTCGGCCCGGTATCTCTCTCCATCTGAAGCCGGCTCACAAATTAATGTTCCGGTTAATGGCGTGGCGGCCGGCGGCGGTGGCGGTGGCGGCGGCCGCCAACCGGCGAGTCACTGACATGACGCCGCCGCCGCCGCCGCCGCTGCCTCCAACGGCGCCGCCACCGCCTCCGGCTAGAGCTGACGGTTTACAGACCGCACGCCCGCCAAGCTAGAGGTGCCGGTTATTAAGCCGCTTATCCACTCCAAATGCAAGTAGCTGGGCCCCGCAGTATCGTTTATGAGCCGTTCGCTGACCACAGAAGACGGTCAAGTGCCGAAGATGTAGGTTTCCGCCAGCTCGCCCACCGGTCACGTGGGTCATATAACGGGTACACCGGGCTTTTTATGGGCTTCCAATACAGGCCACAGCCTTCATCAATTTTATAGCCTGACAATTAGAGCGGCGATCTCTGAATGGTCGATTTCGAAAGCTTTCACGCTGATATAGGTTTTAAAGCATTATTATTTTAAGCACGAATATGGGCAGGAGAAGAGCATCGGAAGACATGCCTCAGACCTAGTGATGAACGGCCTTCGCTCGTTAGGCGAAGAATAACGTTATCGGACTGAGTGACGCTATCATCGACGCGGATTACGTGAAGCTCATCCCAAGACTCCAGAGAGGTTTGTCGCACCTAACGAGAAGTGTGAGCTGAATAATCATCGCACAGCCTGGGTGAGCGCGTCGTGAATCAAGGAGCTGCTGCTCGACCTTCCGTCCTTCACGAAGGCTCGCCACCTGGCCGGACCCCCGGAGGGAGAGGGGACTGGGGAGATAGGAGAGAGGAGAGAGGAGAGAGAAGGGAGCAGGAGAGTAGGGAGCTAATTGCAAGAGCGAGAAGAGAAGCGCGGAGATCGGGCAGTAGAGGTTGAGGAACTGACAGTCCGGGAGCCCGCGCGGGGAGCGTATACACCGGGTGTGGCTCCGTCCGCTCGTGTTCCTCTCTCCCGGTCAGCTCAGCGGGCTGGGGAGCGGGTACCGGAGAGCGGCAGCGGGTGTGGCCCGGCCCGCTCGTGTCCCTCGCCCGGCGCGTGCACCGGTCACACGCCGGGCCGGCCTCGGCGGCGTGCAGTGCCGCTGCCCTCGGCACGCCGCCGCCGCTGCTGCTGCTGCATCATGCAGATGGCAGCAACAGATAGCAGCAGATGCATGATTAGCCCCGCGGCGGCGACAGCGGCGGTCTGCGGCCTCCGAGCCGGCCGAGGGAGAGCAGCCGGAGTCGGCGGGAGGAGGGAGGGAGGAGGGAGGGTCAGCCGTGCCCTGCGGGGTAGAGAGGGATGGACTAAACAGGCGGGCAGGGACGGAGGCCGGCGAGGGAGAGGTGGCTTCTCAAGGGATCGAGAGACGAGCGCTCCAATCCAGTGCGCTGTGCGTCGTTGTTGTTCAAGGAACGCAAACGCCGTCGTAGTGCTTAGGTAAATCCCTTGCAATATGCTTTAATGAAGATATACGGGTCACATTACGTAAGCTTTGGGCTTGTTGCGCAGGAGGTTACTCGAATGAATGGTTTGATATTTCCCCGGCACCCTTATGAGGAAGGCCTCCCACGAATCAACGCGGCTTGAGTGCGACTTATTTGAATATCATGAATCCGGCAGGCGCCTCTTTCAGCATATTTGGCTACTGAGAACCATGCATTCGATAGACGTTCATGCGACCTGAATACTGCGAGTTGCGACACATATAAAGCAAGCCCCCCACCCCCAACTTTTTTCAAAATGCCTGATTATGATAAAACGGGCCGTAGAGTGTAATAAATGTGCCTTAGATCTAGCAGTTTTCCGTGAAAGCCCATTTTTGTGATGCTTTCCATGCTACACCAAACCTGGTGTGGGCGTATCCATTTCCTGAATTGAAACGAGATAACTTCCTTCCCTAAGATAGCCTTTGAACAAATAGCCGTTTCCCTAGCGGCGCGAGGAGACAAACGCCTGTCCGGCAGCCGGCAGGCCGCCTCTGGACCGGTACTACGCACTTCCTTCCCGACGGAGCGGCCGAGCGGGCGACTCCGCCGCCCGAAAACCGGACCCGTAGTCCATATAGGATCGCCTCGGATACATTGGAACAGCTTCAGGCTATCAATTATCGCAATCAATGAAGAGTTTCTTGCACAACAAAAAAGTGGCACGGACAATAGAATTCGGCATGGTGCATTGACAACATGCTTATTGACGGCTCATTGACGATCTATTTGGATGCAAGAGAAAAAGAACAGCCTGCACGTCACGATCAGCCGTACACAATTTATCACTATCGATAAGGGCTTGTGCTTCGTCGTGGCTTATCGCTTCTTGAGTCACATAAAGCAAAACTGACCATTGTACTTGGCTCGTTACCTTATCGGCGATTTATGTTGACTGGCATCGGTACGCAAATTTTGATTGCTATCGAAGGCGGAAGGCCAGAGGGGCAGGGGATTACTATCGACCTCGTTGTGTTCTTGTCCTGTTCTCTGCACGCAACATTACAGACAGCGACCCAGAATTGTCGCCTGGGAACGCTTTGGGGAAACTGAACACTGAACAGCCATTGTGCAGGGTGTGTGTCACAAGAATCGACACATATTGAGGAACAAGCAACGGCAAAACGTGTCTGTTTTCACTTTGTCACTATCAATACATTGCGCAGTTGAACCCGAGGTGCCACTTTCTTTAGGAAGGATACACAGTGCACGCCACACAGCACACACTAGAGATAAGTTCGAAAACATTCAAAACCATTCGGTTGGTGCCGTTCCGCAGCCGCCTTGTGTCGTCTTACGCCGAAAGATAAATTATGAGAGGGGAGGATACCCGTGCTGTTTTTACCAACTACACTCAGTATAAGACTGTTAGGCATCAGCGAAGCTTATCAATTTAGACGGTCGCAAATAACACGAAAATACTTTTGCCCTTTGCAGCTTATTATTCAACCACGGCATTCGGTTCGAACGATTGTTTGTCGACGCGATTTTATCCCATTCCAAACATCTGTGCGGGCCACGCTAGTAGGATGCGCCCTGATTGCTGCTGTCATGTTCCTGCTATCACGGTAAGGCCCAGTGTGAGTGGGCTGTGTTGCCTCCCCTGCCTCCCTATCTGAGCACGTTTTGACACCCGGATGGGTCACAGAGTGAAACCGTGGGCGACAGGCAAGACCGACACACGATAAGATAGACTGTGTCCACAGCGCTCGTCGATAACCGCCTCTGTCCCGAACGTTCGCACACTAGCGCATTGGCACACAGGTGGACCACGGCACGACCCGGCTCAAACATTCCCAGGACATATATGTGCAGCCAATTCCGCATTGGTCTCATTCTATTTCCATCCGATTATACAGGCTAGATCCTGGATGGTCGCTGACCGCTACTGGTATCCCGGATATACCCCACCGGCATCGCCACGACCCGACACGAAGCCAACGCTGATATCTGTAACATGTTTGGAGCATCCCAAAGCGTGCGCGACTATATTTCAGAAGGTATGTGATGCAAACCAGCCCAGTGGGCCGTCTTGCATCATAAAGCTGCCGAAGCAGCGGCGTTGCATCATATGCAAAGTGAGCAGGACGTCTATATGGATTGGGCCGTATAGAAACACGTGTGAGACGAACCGAGGACGATAGGTCAAACGGCTTCTTGTCAAGGAGACCGAGCGAAAAAGGCGAAAACAAATAGTTACGTATGCACTTCGGGAAGCACACTAAGCGAAACGTGCATTGGCCTTGTTGTACACTTGTACCGGCTTGTTGTTCAGAACAGGTGTGTGAACTCTGTGTTCTCTTGGTGGGGGGGGGGGGGTGACATAGCTTTCCTCGAAGCTTATACGGTGCCCTGGAAGACACGCTGACACCAGCTACTTCGATGCACTGTATGAGGCCTACGTTGACAGGTCTCCCCGATTCAGAGAAGCGTGACTAATACGGCAGGGGATATGAGGTCTGGGCACCGTGTCGAGATTGTTATTGAAGCTTCTGATGAAGTGGACGCTAGGGATACCCCACGCCGCAAGTGGCCAATGTGACTGAACTCTCTGAGGAAGGGGAGATGGGGAGACTCCATACTACCAGAGGACACTGCGACTGACCCCTCTGCGATACTAGAGGTGGCGGAGATTCCACACTGCAGGCGGACACCACGACTGACCTCTCTGATGTACTGGAGGAAGCTGAGGTCGAGGCTGTCGTCCTGCAGCCAGGTCAGCTCCAGGTTGCCGTCCACGTAGGTACAATTGGTGTAGCGATCCCTGAGGTTCTGGTAGTGGGTGGTCCGGTTTCCCGGCACAGACATTCGTCCGCTAGTGCCGATACAAACTGAAAAACCAAACGTCACTCTCGTCAGCACGACAACAACAGCTTTTCTGCTTAAACTCGAGACAAGGTGCGCACTTAGTTTATCCAGTCAAAGCCTACCGCCATTCTAATCCCATCAGAATTACGTTACAAGCTAACAGCCAAACGAAATGCTATCAAAAACGTCAATGATGCAATATCTGGTCAAACACACAGGGCGCTGTCCTTGAGTATCGCCACACTGAAGATACATCACCGCAGCAATGACAGACATTCCGCAGAGGATCTGGCGCGGCAGGCCGCGGATTCCTCTGCGGGTAGATGGTACTCACATAACCACCGCTTCCAACTCCGACTGGTGCAGCTGCCGGGACTTGAGCTGCTTACCTTTCACGCACCTATATGGTGAGAGGTAGGTATACTTCTCACCTCGATAAGCGCTGCTTACTCGGGTTTCTACTTACTTTTCTGTTTCATGTGCGTGCTGCCGTCGTTGAACTCCGGCGGTAGCTGGCCAGCCACCAGGCCCGCCTGAAGCGCGGCGCACAGCGCCAGCGCACACCCCAGCAACATGCCGCCCCTGCTCGGCAGCATTCTGACTGCGCGGCGGCCGAGAGAGAAGACTAGCAGCACTTGGCGACGGCAAGCTCGGAGCACGCGAGCGCAGACATAATATCACAGGAGAGGGCGGAGAATGGGCAGCGCGCACGCGCCGTGCGCGGCTCAAGTGACGTCGCGGTGACGAGCTGAAAACAGGGACACGGCTGTCAGAGAGGTGCAGCAGGTCGGTGTTGGTCAGGATGGAGTTCGGGAGGTTTGAGAGGGTCGGGATGGGAGCAGTGCTGGAAATGAGGCCGCTTTCTGGTCCCGGCGTTTTATTCTCGGGGTGGGTTACCCCCGTCCAGCGTTTAGCCTTTCGGGACCCACTCAGGGTCGCGGTTGTTTTCGCCGCTCGCCGCAGTCGAGATGCAAAGTTAATAGGCACACGAAGCTCATTTAGGGCCAGCCAAACCAGCCTAGTGTGGAGTTACTGTTAAATGTATGCATATAGCTGAAAGAAAAAGGTTTTGTAGAATCGATTAATTTCGAAGTCGTATGTTCAGAGGCCCCAAATAAACTTCGTGTGACTACAATATTGTATCTCGAATGGGCCGAGCGGCAAAAACAACCGCGGCTCTGAGAGGGTCCCGAAAGGCTAAGCGCTAGACGGGGCTAACCCACCCGGAGAATAAAACGCCGGGACCAGAAAGCGGCCTCATTTCCAGCACTGGACGGGAGCCTCAGTCCGCCTCTGCCACTCCGATGCCTGCCGCGACGGAGTCAGGACGTCGACCACGGAGGGTCTCGCATCAAGGTCCAGCTGCTGTTCAAAGAGGGTTGCTAACCAGATGCCGAATCTTCAGGAATGACTATCAACTATTTCATCAGCAGATGCGAAGCCTTGCCAGTGGCGTCGCCTGCTGTATAAGACCAGCTCGGCCGGTGTAATTAACGTCCCAGGCAGACAGTCGGCAACACTCCAGGCCCATCAGCCAGCTGGCGTCAGTTGATTCACCGACACCTCACGAGCGGCCCACACGCTCCAAATGAACACCACTCCTCTGCACCTCACGGTCCGCAGCGGAGACGCCATGCGCGTCCCGTCGCGCTCCATCTACCTCCCATCCGTTACGGCTGTCACGATCGACTCAGACACGTCACGATCCGTCACGAGGCGTCACACGGTGTCGGCGCGGACGAATCACTTTAGTGCGGCCCCTCCGGTGGGTGGCCGCCGCGTCCCGTCAGCAGGGCCGGCAGACGAGGTCGTCAGGCGACCACCAGGAAAACGGCGTGGACAGACCCACCGCGCAGCCGCCGCCATCTGAAATTCAAATAGCCGGCCGCGCCAGCCACGGGGGCCGTCTGAGGCAGGCCGGTGAGCTGGCTGAGCTCGGTCGGCGAGCTGTCTAAGCTGGACAGCGAGTTGCTAGGACCGTAGCGGAGCGGTCAGCAGCACGGAGCCGGCAGAGCCATCCGTCTTCGTGTCGTCTTCGCGACAAAACGGGATCCTGCGATCAGCTCTCGCCGAGTCGGGTGTCGATTGAGGTGGGTTCGCGGAACGACTCCAGAGAACAGGTGATCTGAGATGTTAAAAATGCAACGGTCGGTCGGTAAAATATCGCTAATGTAACCAACGATAGCCGCAGCGCGGCCAGGCCAGACGGCAATCGGTGTTGTTTTTATACTCGACCTCGCGTCCTCATAGGGTAAAAATGGTCGTGGCTGCCTTGCCGTACAACCGCGATGGGCAAAGTCGTGAGGCAAGGCCATCGCCTCGGTAAATCGGTGCATTTCAGCGGACTTTCGGAGGGTGTTCGTGCTGCCCACAAGTGACGTGTAACTACTTGGTGCCCAGAGAGATAAGAAGTTTCACGACTTCTTGGATTCTCAGGGGTCTGTGCTAAGGGCTTGCGAAACAGAGTCAAAACAAAAGTATGTTGTGAGAAATGACCGGCATCATCTTGGCAATCAACGTGCGTTTCTAGAACGGAACGAAGTGTTAATGTTTTTCAGCCGAGGTATCGCTATCATACCTTGTCATCAAGGCCTGACCACTTAAGATCACCAGCAGTGAGAACTACGCGGTTGGAAGTACAGACATATCTTGAATTCAAACATTCGAAGTGTGTCATCACCAATTTGCATCGTAATAAACCACGAACCGGACAACCCGTGTTCAGAATGAGAGCAATGAATATGATGTCAACAACAATGACCACTATCCCATCATCAGCTCCTTAAGAAGCCACGGCGAATGCATCTCACTGCAGAACACGTCTGGCGTCTCCGCCCAATATTATATGACAGCCTGCTCGAACTCAAACAACGCGTGTCACCGCGGCGATGGCCATAGCGGGCTGGTTCAAACAGCGCCGCCACTGAATATGAGTGCCGCGGCTGGGGTCGTCGACGACCGGTTAACTTGACCGGACAGCCGTGAAGGGCGCGCCGGGCCGACATGAAAGACGCCGTCCGCTCGCCGGGCTGCTCCGCCGACCGGCCCGGCGGGTGACGGGCCGGTGACGGGACAGGGCCCGCGGCGGGTGAGACGGGTGACGACCGGGTCTCACCCGTCACCGGTTCGGAGGCCGACTGGAGGCCGGGTCCGTCAGACCGGAGGGATAGGGGCGGTGTCTCTTCCGCGACCCGAGATCAGACGTGACGGGCGCAACCACAGCGGACCGGCCGTCCAGATCTGACGGGCCGCTCTCGGCGGAGGTGTTCGGTGCCGCATTAGTAGTTCAGGTTGTCGAACCCAAGCAGGAAAGGGCGTGGTGACCGCTCTAACGGCGGCATCTTCGTACTGTAATCTTCACTTACCCGCTCCAGTTTTCGGCAAACCTGTTTTATGTCCTCAGACAACACATCACCATGGCTTCAGCATTAACGCCCGGTTACCACAGAACAGTAAAATAGTCGGCTACACAGAAAAATGCCACTGAGGTGGGCTCCGATGTGGATAAAGAGCAAAAAACTGGCCTAGACATCAACAGATAACGCTGAGCTCATAAGAGGATCCCCACGACCTGCGGTAAGGGGACCAGATCTCCAGCTGACAGGCCGCTCGCGCCACTTCGCCGCACTGCAGAGTACGCTAAACCAAGCACTCGCCAGCACTCACGAACCAGAGCTTTACTGTTCTCCGGATAAGACCGTCTGAATACGCGATCGTATCTTACTTGCCATACATGCCAGCACACGATAAGGGTTGGAGTGGTTGAAGATATGCGATACCGCTCCATCGCAGTGTCGCAACAGCCGTGTGCACGCGAATAATGAAGCCATCAGCACTTATCGGCCGCGGCAATGTAATCACCGCTGCTTCGAGCCGGCAGCAGTGAGACAGTCCGTGCATATATTTGGCAGGTCGATTTCGATCAGCCGGGCGGCGATAGGTCGTCGAACGGATTCGGGTCAGAGGCTTCACCTGACGCCCGAGCAACTGGTTCGCGGCCATATTCGGACCCGGCGCCGATCGCAGAGCCCGACCAGTTAGCCCGCGGCTGAGCTGAATCAGCTCGGCAGAATCACTACCGCGGGAGAGACGGATTGACTCAGTCCGCCGACGGCTGACTCAGGTCGCCGCTCGTTTGACTCAGCGTGGACTCCACCTCGTCCACGACTCACCGTCTCCCCAGCTGTCCAGAGGCCAATTTGGGTCGCGCGCCATCCAGCTGCGCTCGTTATTTCGGGCCGGCGAGAGCACCCAATTTCAGCCGGGACCGGGCCGGTCGCCATCAGTCCTCCGTTGAGACTCTGGAGATGGCCTGGCGTGCGCGCTTTGTAAGACGATTGGGCCACGCAGCGTGATCCCAAGGAGCACCGATTCAGCGACCGATCCGGACAGCAGATAAGGCCGTCTTTTCACGTGCCATACGGTCCTGAACAGACGGCTGTTTCACGGACTGGTTAATATTCAATGACCACGTCTTTCTGCTGAAAACTCCTGGAAGTGACACTACTTAATCAGATGTGGCTGGAAAAGGAAATGACGCCTGCCATGAAGAAAAATGGTGGGCCCGGCGTAATGAGCGATAATCTATCAGCTGTGTCCAAACTCCAAACACGGCGAGAATAATGGAAAATTACAGTTGCCGGGGATGTCGAGGTCAGGGGGGCCGTAACAAGCGGGGTCGTGACCGGTCTCTGCTTCCGAATATCGGCGCCAATGTCGTCAGACGTGCTCGCGCCGCTTCTATCATGCACATGCATGAAGCATGCAGTCATAAAAGGCGCCTAGTTTACACTTACTAAGCTTATGTTTAAGCTTTTGTTCAAGCTCATGCTTTTAAAGCTTACGTCTCTCCAAGAAAACCAAGTGCAATAAATATGCTATAGAAAAACGGCAGAGCAGCCCCGTAATCGTCGACTGTTTCGATACTTGCCAAAATTCTGCGAACGTTTCAATGTTATTCGCTTCTCACCATAGACATACACATCAAAATGCAGGCGAAACATATTATCTTTGTTCTAAACTAGGCTCAACTAGCACGATTTCTCTAAAGAAATGTAGAAGACTGCTGCTCGTCCTGACCTAGCTTCAGCCCCTGCATGGCCCCTTCACTAGACGGTTTACTGCAATAGCCTCAGTCCCTTTCGGTAGCGTAATTTAAGCCCATCAGATGCAAAGAAAACGAAGAACTAGCCATTTCACTTAACAATGACTGCCAATCTTGCATGTGCTGTTTTATTGAACGGGCTCTTGCACCAGATTATGGCACTGTGTCACAACAGACGTGACTGGGCCATTTTTAAGGCCGGCATCAAACACAGGCCAGCGCTCGATAACGTTACGAACAAGAAACAATGCCGGGTATTATTCAGCTCTTATGACTCGTTAATGATTGGTCGAGCATGCACCCAGGGCCGCTGAGGGGATTATGCAAAGACACGGGTGGGGTTCGCTTTGGAAACAGTAAGTAAAATAGACACTTCCAAGAAGCAGTAGATTTAGAGTAAATTGTTTTTTTAAAATTGAGACAATTTCACGGGCCACCGTCAGCTCTGTATTACATGATTACAAAATACTTTTGAATGTGCCCTGCGGCCTAAACTCCATTTCCAGCCGAACCGTTCGGAGACGGGCTCCGTTCTCATTTCCCGCGGCTGGTAGCGCACCGCAGCCCATCTGGCGTCTAATAGAGATCCCCATCCTGTTCTCTGACAAGTGTACATATGAGGTGTCTACTGCGGACGGACGCGA